ACTAATTGGCAACAAGCATCACAGTGGCAATTCCCTCAACAACAACGCTCAGATTTCAAGGGTCCGAGACCTTACCTTGGCAAGTGCCAAATCTGCAATGTTCAGGGTCATAGCGCTAAACGTTGTCCTCAGTTTCAAAACCTGACGCAGTCACCTTCTTCCTGGCAACCAAGAGCAAATATGGTAGTCAGTTCTCCCTACTCTGCTAATAATTGGTTACTAGACAGTGGAGCAACACACCATATCACCTCCGATCTCAACAACTTAGCGCTTCATCAGCCGTACAAAAGAGGGGATGACGTGATCATTGCAGATGGGTCAAGCATTCCTATTACACACACGGCTTCTATATCTATTCCCTCAAATCAAAGACCATTGAATTTATATAAAGTTCTATGTGTCCCTGAGATAGATAAGAATTTGATATCAGTATACAGACTTTGCAATACTAACCGTGTGTCAGTGGAATTCTTTTCCGCCTCCTTTCAGGTGAAGGATCTCAGCACGGGGGTCCCATTGCTCCAAGGCAGGACTAAGAACGAGTTTTATGAGTGGCCAGTGACATCATCCCGACCAGTAGTTATGCTTGCATTGTCCAATCCGAAGACTACTTTGACTTCCTGGCACTCACGTTTGGGTCATCCTTCGGCGTCAATCTTAAACTCCATAGTTTCCAAATTTTTGCTTCCTGTTGCTTCATCACAAAAGAATGTTTCATGTTCTGATTGTGCAATCAATAAGAGTCACAAGCTTCCTTTTTCACATACAACAATAGGGTCTTCAAGACCTCTGGAAATTCTCTTCTCTGATGTTTGAAGTTCGCCTATTACATCTATCGATGGGTACAAATACTACATGGTAATTGTTGATCACTTCACTCGATACACATGGCTGTACCCGCTAAAAAGGAAGTCTCAAGTGAAAGAAACGTTTCAAGCATTCTGTCCCCTCGTAGAAACGCGATTTCAGAACAAAATTGGTACGTTTTTCTCCGATAATGGCGGCGAGTTTGTAGCTCTACGGGAATACTTAGCAACTCGGGGTATCTCACACCTTACCTCACCACCCCACACCCCAGAGCACAACGGCGTGTCAAAGAGGAAACACCGACATGTGGTTGAAACAGAATTAACACTTCTGTCTCGAGCTTCAATCCCCAAGGAGTATTGGCCCTATGCGTTTGCAACAGCGGTTTACCTAATCAACAGACTTCCTACACCACTACTCACGATGCAATCCCCATACCAGAAGCTATTTGGAATTTCCCTAAATTACCAAAAGCTAAGAGTATTCGGGTGTACCTGTTATCCTTGGTTAAGACCATACACCAAGCATAAGCTCGAAGATAAATCAGTTCAGTCTGTCTTTCTTGGGTATTCCACCACTCAGAGTGCATACTTCTGCCTTCATAGGTCCAGTGGTCGGATTTACACATCAAGACATGTTGTCTTTGACGAACAACAATTTCTGTTTCAACAGCAAGGAGAATCGAAGTCTGTCCCGATTACAGATGAAGAAGATTCACCCATCAGGTCGATGCCATTCATAAAGCTTGCTTCACCAAGTCAATCTCAAACTCCGTGCTCAGACCTTCATCGTTCCAACAATCATCGCTCCCGACATCGCAGACTCAGGTATTGCCTTTTAACACTGAATCTCCTTCTTCTCCTCCCCCAACTAATTCTGAGCCCACTGCTCTTTTACAAAATGGGCCGCAACCCACGGCCCAGCAACATCCCCCACCAAATCAACTTTCTCTAAACTCACTAAATACTCAAGCCCAACAACAAACACTGGCCCAGATAAATCCACCCACACAATTACCAAACACCACGGCTGCTTCTTCTTCTTCAACGATCCCAATTCAACGCCGAACCAGAACAACCAAACAGAAACCCAGAATTCCTCACTCTATGTCAACTCGAGCCAAAGGAGGAATTCAGAAACCAAATCCAAAATACCTAGCCTTAACAACACTTACCAAAATCACCAACTTTGAACCGCGCACTGCCAAGCAAGCCCTTGACGATGAGCGGTGGAGAAAGGCGGTCCTTGCTGAAATCAATGCGCAAATCGGGAACTACACTTGGGATCTGGTGCCGATTCCATCACATCCGATTACTATTGTAGGCTGCAGTATGGGTCTTTACTACAAAATACAATCCCGATGGATCAGTAAGTAGACTCAAAGCACGGATAGTAGCGAAAGGGTACAACCAGCAAAAAGGGATCGATTATGCAGAAACATTTAGCCCAGTAGTCAAATCAACGACTATACGCATAGTTTTGGGGGTTGCTGTGACTCGTTCGTAGAAGATCAGGCAACTAGATGTAAATAATGCATTTCTACAGGGAACATTAACAGATGAGGTTTACATGTCCCAATCACCAGGGTTTGTGGATCCCGAAAGGCCAAACCATGTCTGCAAACTTCGAAAAGCGATTTACGGACTCAAGCAAGCTCTGCGAGCCTGGTACAAAGAACTTCGAAACTATTTGCTTCATAGTGGTTTCACTAATTCGGTTGCAGATACGTCATTATTTATACTTCACCGTGACAATTCTGTGGTCTACATGTTAATCTACGTTGACGACATTATTATCACGGGAAACGATAACGACTTGCTTACTCATATTCTTGAGGCCCTGGCTATGCGATTCTCCATCAAGGATCATGAGGACTTGTCATATTTTTTGGGAATTGAAGCAAAGCGAGTATCCACGGGACTCCATCTCTGTCAACGAAAGTATATACTTGATCTTCTTGCTCGACACAACATGCTCACGGTGAAAACAGTCACAATACCAATGGTATCTTCACCAAAACTCTCATTGCATGCAGGGACTGTCTTACCCGATCCTGCAGAATACAGAAGTGTAGTTGGCTCCCTGCAGTACCTAGCCTTCACGCGGCCAGATATATCTTATGCGGTAAATCGGCTATCTCTCTTCATGCATAAGCCCACCACTGAGCATTGGCAGGCAGCAAAGCGAATACTGCGCTATCTTGCAGGAACAGCAGACCACGACATCTTTTTCTGGGCGAACAATCCTCTACAGTTGCACGCATATTCCGATGCTGACTGGGCAGGGGATTGCGATGACTATGTGTCCACTAACGCTTACATAGTGTATCTCGGACAACATCCCGTTGCGTGGTCCTCCAAGAAACAACGAGGCGTTGCCAGGTCTTCAACCGAGGCAGAGTACAGGTCAGTAGCTAATACCTCATCAGAACTTAAATAGATTTGCTCACTCCTTAAGGAACTTCGCATACCACTACAACAGACACCGGTGATATATTGTGACAATATGGGCGCGACTTATTTATGTGCCAATCCGGTGTTTCATTCTAGGATGAAACACATTGCACTAGATTATCATTTCATTCGAAATCAAGTTCAGTCAGGCACCCTGCGAGTTGTTCATGTGTCTACAAAGGATCAATTGGCTGATGCCTTGACTAAACCATTACCAAGGGCGATCTTCAACATCATTTCAGGCAAGATTGGAGTGGCTGAACCCCCTCCATCTTGAGGGGGCGTGTCAAGGATACTCAAGATCAGTTCCAGATCCGATCATATCAATCACGTTGATACTACAGAGTCTATTTATGTACAAAGATATATTCTCATTAAGTATGTATGTAAAGCCCTAGCACAAGCTCGTCTATATATATATCTGTACTCTCACTATTGAAATCATATAAGTTCATCAACCTACACATACATCTCGAGATGAACATACTCTTCATCATCAGAATCAGGAAACATCGAAGGTGCCATCGGTGGTTTGCGTCTAGGCTTTCCTACACCCAAAACTTGTGTGCATTCAATTAATGATTCTACAGAACGAAACAGACTTTGATTTGCGGCGGCGTCGTCGTCATCAACATCAACCACGAGAAGAGTGTGGTTTCTCAATCTCAAACAATGCTGAACCCTGTGCAACTCGCTTTCTGGCCTTTGTTTCGCGATTACCACTAGATTTGGAGGTCTATCAGCAGCTGTTGCGCAAACAATCATTGCCAGAGGCATTTTGGAACTTTCTGATATGTAGTCGATTCCGGCCTCGTCCTGGACGTCATCGTCGTATTTCAAAGGGTGGTCACAATACCCCTCGATTTGCGTAGGCCCATGAAAGCCCATTCGATCAAGAGCATCTTTGATATTATAAATGGAACGAGGATCGGCAGGGATTGGGTAGTCATCCAAGTTCCAGTACACGTGTGTGATGGCGTCGGAGGAGAAGTATTTGATCTTGGATTCGTCCATGGAGACTTTCTAGTTGCCCTAAATTAGGGTTTAGATCGATCGGGCTCTAAACACAGACAAAATCTAACTATATAATGTGCTCGAGGAAGTGTAGATATGCATTAGACAAACTCATTAAAAAGGAAAATTTCCTTTTTCTTAGATTTCCAACGGTCCAATATCCACAAACCCTACAACGGTCTATACAAGTTGCTTTATTAACAAATACAATTCGCACAGAAAAAGGCAAACTCTAACATCCTGGTTCTGCCTTACTATGTCTATTCACAACAAGCACAGGAAACCAAAGTTACAGGACAACGTTAACTATTTTACAGAATTGGAAAATGCAATTCCTATCAATGCCTCAAATAGTTCTATTGCACTGCCCTTTCTATTCGTGTCATCTTTCTTCCCAAACTTCGACGGAAGCGCACTGAGTAAAGCTATAAGACGGGATGTGACCGGATGAGGTTGACCTCATGATCATTCATTCCAAGCTTTGATGAAAGGAAAATTATCTTAAACAATGTAGTAATCCCAAGAACAGACAAGTTAACATCCTAAAGCAAGTTAATACGGAAAGTTACATTTTCGTTACATTTTTGGTTAACTCTTTTGCTTACTTATAATCCCAACAACAGTTGTTTCTATTCTAGCAAACTTTGATTCCACCATTTCAGGTTTCTTAACACCTTCTGATTTCTTTCTTTGGCACTCACCATTGTTTGTCATATGCTTAAAAGGCACTCTTTTTTTAAACCCACAACTTTAGTTTAAAACATATCACATGAACTGCTTGTGATAACCATATGCAACAACATATATGAATTCACACATTGGTCAAACACCTTTGAAGTTTCAACATGGGTAAGAAAAGGTTCCAGCTTTACTAACAAACGCAATTTGTAAGAAAAAGAAATGACAGAAAAAGGCAAACTCCAACATCCTGGTTTGGTTCTACCTTACTATGTCTAATAACAACAAACAAACACGTAGAATCCAAGTTACAGGATGATGTTAGTTTTTTCAGCATTGGAGAATGCATTCCATAAGTGAAATAGTTCAAATTCGCTGCCCTTTCGACACGTTTCCTCTTTCTTCCTGGACTCTGAAAGAAGCACACTGGATCATAAGTAAAACAGAAGTACTTCACATTGTCACCAAGATAAAGCTATAAAAAGGGATGTCACCTTAGAGATAAACCAAAGCAAAAGCAAGTTTACCTCCTTTGGAGCTATGTCAGCCATGGAAACGTAGCATTCATTTCTTTCAAAGACAAGAGGGATTTGATTGCAGAGAAGGGGGAAGAGAGGCGAGAAGAGAAGGAGGGTACCCACCCACCACAGGGAAGGTCTCTGAGATCGACGGAGTTTCCAGAGAAACCTCTGCAATTGAAGAAAATGAAAACTATGCCTATCTAAAAGCCCATTTATCATATGGGACGCCCAAAGCCCAATAAGCGTTTGTCCCTGACTTTCCCGATCATCTTCACCACTCAGGCCAGTCTCGTTTCCGATCAATAATTTAGTACCAGTTTCAAAAATTGAGCTCTTGAGTCTTCTTTTCTGCATTTCGGAGGACTTCTCAAGGCTTCTCGTGAACAGAAATGATCAGTTTCGTTTCTTGCCACCGTGTAATTGGCCGGAAACTTGGGCCTTCCTTTTGCTTTGTTTACACGAATTTCTGATAACCTAAGGATTTGTGATTTGTAGACTGTTGCAGTGAGCGTTCTGATATCAAATTTTTTTCCGATAAATTCTTCATGTAAGGAATCAGAATCTGCCTTTTCCTTGGTTTAAACGAATTCTCAAGTTTATTGTCCCTTTTTCCCCGGCTGAGTTAATGGTTTAGGAGAGTCAAACCAACCGGTTATTTGCTGATACACGTAACAAGTAAATAAGAGTCTTTCTTTCTTCTTTCTTCTACTAAATGATCTGGGAAAGGCAGTTTCGACCATCCAGAGATAGTGTTTAGCTCTGTGTTTTCACATAGAGAATTGACTTTATAGATTGTTCCAGAGAGCATTCAGCATTGTGAAGCTAACTTTGACTATGTCTTTTTCTACAATCAGAGACCTTTTTCTGAGCTTCTTTAACCGTGGTGAAGACTAACCAGCGAAGTTAGACTCAGCAGGAATCAACCTGTTGAGTTAATTTTTCAATCTCATTGCTCTGTTGATGTGTTTGCTTCATGCCTTTGCAATAAACCAAAGACTTTTAGTTGACGAAGCCACAAAGCTTGATTGATATATTCTTTAGACTTTAGATGGCTTTGATTGTTAGATTCGTAATTCTGACACATTCTTGGCCAAGACACGTCTTGAGGAGTCATCTATGTTAATGCTCATTCTCCCTCATTTGAATTACATCTCTCTCTCTTTCTCTCTGACTTTCTTCTTGGAATGAGGAATTATATATCATCAGTTTTTGTGGTACTAATTCTGGTAATCTTTCTCAATGAGCAGAGCAGTTTCTTGGCACGAGCCGTTGCTGAGAGCAAGGTACTCAGACATTTTTTTTATCAGACAACATAGACAGAGACCAATTGAGTAACAATGTTGGTTCTTTTGGAATGATCAATAGGTTCATATAGTGTATTTGGGCTAGAGACAGCATGATGATCTTGAGTTTGTCACGGAGTCTCATCATCAGATGTTGTTGTCACTTCTTGGAAGGTATGTAAAAAGTAGTTCCTCTTTCTCATAAGTACACATAGTAATGTCTCACACTGTTACTCAGGTTTCTTGCTTTTGTTCCCGTGATTACAGTAAAGAGGATGCTCATGATTCAATGGTGTACAGTTACCGACATGGCTTCTCAGGTTTTGCAGCCAAGCTTACCATGTCTCAAGCCAAGAAACTAGCAGGTACTTACTCTTAAGTTTCATCTTTTCTTGGCATCTTAGAATTTGTCTAAAAGACTCCTTGATCAGTTGATTGTCTCAACAAGACCATCTGATTTTGTTTTCCCATTGATAATGCTCTTTGGCGACAGAGTTATCTCAAGTTGTTCATGTCATACCGGATAGTTTCTACAAGCTGAAAACAACTCGGACTTGGGAATACTTAGGCCTTTCTGCCGCCAACCTAAAGAACCTTCTAAATGAAACTAATATGGGTGAAGAAGCGATCATCGGCATTATCGACACAGGTACGAGTGTTTATTTGTACATCTATTGTCTGCTCATTGCAAATTTCTCAAGTCTCATGGTTGCTTCTGATTACTCTTCTTAGCGTCTCTATGACTAAAAAATGTTTTCTGTGGTTGAAGGAGTATGGCCTGAATCTGAAGTATTTAACGACAAAGGGATTGGTCCTGTGCCGAGTCACTGGAAAGGAGGATGTGAATCAGGAGAGAATTTCAGCTCTTCTCACTGCAACAAAAAACTCATAGGAGCAAAGTACTCCATCAATGGTTTTCTCGCGGAAAACAAAAAGTTCAACACCACAGGATCACTTAACTTCATTTCCCCTAGAGATTTTAATGGTCATGGCACGCACGTTGCCACCATAGCAGGCGGTTCGTACGTGGCCAACATAAGCTACAAGGGCCTAGCTGGAGGGACTGTGAGAGGTGGGGCACCACATGCTCGTGTAGCAATGTACAATGGTATCTGAATGATTTAGACATAACGACTTGTTCATCTGCTGACATTTTGAAAGTTATGGATGAGGCTATGCATGATGGTGTTGATGTTCTGTCTCTCTGTCTAGGCTCTGTGGTTCCTCTCGATGGCGAAACTGATATTCACGATGAAATAACCGCCGGAGCATTTCATGCAGACTATGCAGTCTTGAAAGGTATCACAGTTGTTTGTGCTGGTGTTAACTCAGGCCCAGTGGCTCAGACCGTGACAAACACGGCTCCTTAGATCGTGACTGTGGCTGCAACCACTCTAGACCGGTCCTTTGCCACGCCTATTACACTTGGGAACAGCAAAATGATACTGGTAACTACATTATGTTATTTGTTCTCCTCAAGTTAGGTATTTTCGAAACGTTTACTCTGCAAATGTTTGATGATCACAGGTCTTCTTGTTAATAATGGCTACTGTATTGCAGGGTCAAGCAATGTACACAGGTCCTGAACTTGGTTTACCCAGGGAATCCAGGGAACAGCAACGAGAGTTATTCAGGGTAATACTAAACCTCTAGTTTCTTATTAGGGACCTATATTCAGTCAGTATTCACCAAATCTTGTAATATGAAGATAATCAATTTTCCCTGATATATATCACCCTGGTTCTTGGTACAAAGGTTGCATCTTTCTGATCAAGAGGACCTAATTCGATTGCGCCTGCGATCCTCAAAGTATGCCACCATGTCAGAATCCTTGCTTGTTCATTTCTTTCAGACCCATTACGTTATCTTATGTTTCCAATCGTATGAATGTCTGAATGCAGCCGGATATAGCAGCACCAGGAGTGAGCATATTGGCGGCTACAAGCACCGCCAATTCCACTTTGAACGACCGAGGGTTCATTATGCTGTCAGGAACATCAATGGCGGCTCCTGTAATATCAGGAGTTGTTGCACTTCTTAAGGCCAGACACCGTGATTGGTCTCCTGCTGCAATTAGATCTGCCATTGTCACTACAGGTTCTTGTCTTCTTCACCATTTGCTAGAAAACGAAAAGACTTGGACACAACTAAGAGAATTTAGCTCCATAAGAACATACTGATCTCGATAAGTGTCTTTCATTACTCTGCAGCTTGGAGAACAGATCCGTTTGGAGAGCAGATATTTGCACAAGGGTCACCTCGGAAGCTAGCTGATCCGTTCGACTATGGTGGAGGCCTTGTGAATCCAGAGAAAGCTGCAAAGCCGGGTCTTGTCTATGACTTGGGTCTCGAAGACTATGTTGGATACATGTGCTCTGTTGGTTACAACGAGTCATCAATCTCTCAGCTTGTCGGTAAAGGAACAGTCTGTTCGAAACCGAGACCATCTGTTCTTGATTTCAACATGCCTTCCATCACAATCCCAAACCTAAAAGAAGAAGTCACTCTCACAAGAACACTCACTAATGTTGGACCAGTTGAGTCGGTCTATAAAGCAGCGTTTGAGCCACCGTTGGGCTTTCAAGTGACGGTGACGCCGGAGAGGTTAGTGTTTAACTCCGAGACCAAAAGGCTCTCTTATCAAGTCAGAGTCTCGACCACACACAAGATCAACACTGGTTTTTATTTCGGAAGCTTGACTTGGAGTGACTCTGTGCATCATGTCACCATTCCTTTGTCTGTGAGAACGCAAATTCTGCAGAATTACTATGATGAGAACTGAAGAAACAAAAAAAAAGTTTTAACTTTTGAGTTTTTAATTTCTTCTTTTTAAGTTCTCCTATTTATTAAAGGAGATAAAATTACGCAAGGGGATCAAAGTAATGTTATTTTAATTTTAAATCAGATTTCAATTTATTTATTTTAACCCAATTAAAATAAAATAGGTGAAAAAAAACCTGAACTCGCTAAAAGTTTCCTTTTTTAGTTTAGCAAAACAAAAAGGAAAAATTCCTTTTCTTAGATATCTTCCAACGGTCCAATGTCCACACCGACTTAATTAAACCAACATTTTGTTCTATAAATATCACATTCGCTAGCGATTATTTCAATTTTCTTTCTCGCTGTGATTTTTTTTTAACGAGTAGTGATACAGTTTCTTTCTTGTAACACAATATCCAGAAACCCTAATTTTCAAGTCTAATTGAAAAAGATGATGCAACCTAACGAAGAAATCGTGAAGTTCTTGGGAGAAGGTTCTTACGGGTTCGTTAATCTCGTCACATATACTAAACCCGACGGCTCTTCGTTTCAAGCGGCCGTTAAAAATTCATACCCCATGGATTACGACAACCTTCAGAGAGAGTGTGAGATTCTGCGCGAACTCAGGGGATACCCTAGAATCGTCGAGAGCTTTGGAGAGGATCTCGAAGAAGGTAGCTGCGACGGAAGAAAAGTCTACAAATTGCTTCTCGAGTACGCATCTGAAGGGAGTCTGAGTTCTTTCATGGACAATTACGCCGACAGAAAACTTCCCGAGCCGATGATCAGAGACTTCACCCGCATGATTCTCGAAGGTTTGGTCTCGATTCACGACCACTATTACGTTCACTGCGATCTCAAACCCGCCAATCTCCTCGTGTTCCCGTCGAGCGATGGTTCGTACGAACTCAAGATTTCCGATTTCGGAAACACTTTGGAAATCGCTGAAGTACCTCATTACTGGAGAGCCGAATGCCGGTTTGTGGGAACACCGAATTACATGCCGCCGGAGTCTACCATTGACGGCGCCGTTGAGAAAACCCTAGATCTATGGTCGTTGGGATGCTTGGTGCTGGAGATGTTCACTGGTGAGACTCCATGGGAAGGGGTTGAACTCAATGATCTCGTGATTCATCTCGTCGTCGATAATAAAGCTCCAGAGATTCCAGAGAGTGTTCCTTGCGACGCAAGGGAGTTTATTGAAACCTGTTTCTCAAGGGTTCCCGAGGAGAGAGGAAGTGCGTCTGAGTTGTTGTCTCATCGGTTCTTGTTGCGTCGAGAAGAGGAGAAGACGGATGAGAAGATTACCGCCGTCGTAGTATCTGAACAGAGAAGAAACTCGTTTCTATTGAACTTAAAGTTGAGAATCAGAGGAGCTTTCAAGAAATCAAAGGATGTTTCAGAGAAGAAGACTAAGCCTATGAAATCGAAGATCTTTCCATTGAAGCCACCACAGTTTAAGAAAGCTCTGAATGAAGTCTTGAGGTTGAAGATTAAGCCTATGAAACTCTCGGATTCTAGTATGATTTCTGTTCAGTGACTTTCTGAATTCCATCATTCCTGTTTACTTTTTAGTATATGTAGATCGTATTATCTCAGGTTTCAATCTGTATATGTTACGGCAAGTTTCATTTTCTTTGAACATTTTGTTACATTTTTGGTTAACTCTTTTGCTTACTTATAATCTCAACAACAGTTATTTCTCTCTAGTAAACTTGATTCCACCATTTCAGTTTCTTAACATCTTCTGATTTCTTTCTTTGGCACTCACCATTGTTTTTCATATACTTAAGAGACACTCTTTTTAAAACATATCACACGAATTGCTTGTGATAACCATATGCAACAACATATATGGACTCACACATTAGTATATAACACCTGTGAACATAATGCAATTTGTACAAAAAGGATTTGACAGAAAAAGGTAAACTCAAACATCCTGGTTCTGCCTTACTATGTATAATCACAACAAACAATACTATGTATGGTTTGTGCAAGTTTGGTAAACACAGGGAATCCATGGCTGAATCCCATTATCAGGTTGGTAATTTTGCAATCTATGTATGGTTTAGTACCTCCTCATGAGAGTTTCAGTACGATCCCAAGAGTCCAGATGCCACATATCCTTCTCCGCGAGGGGCCATTTTGATCCCAGAGTCATCAATGGATTCAACCATGAGAAGAAGATTCCTGTGGGGGAAAAAGATATTGGTAAGAAGGTGTTTTCTAATCAAAGTTCAACAAGTGTTGAAGAATCTTCAAAGCATTATGTTGCAAGACCACTAAGCAACGACTTGGGTCTCACAATCACAATCCAGTTTTCCTAAGTTCATTTCTAGGGAGAATAAGTCACAAAATAAATTGAAGAGGCTATAGACAACTCATTGTGTTCTAGTTGTTAACTAAGGTTCACACTACAAAAGAGATTCACTGATTCGAGGACATGTTTAAGCTCTAAAGGAATACTAACTCAGATAAGTAGTAAGAACAGAAGAGAGATCAGAGATGATGGTACTTCACATTGTCACCAAGATAAAGCTATAAGACAGGATGTGACCAGATGTGGTTGACCTAATGAACATTCCAAGCTGTAAGGAAAGGAAAACTAAGCTTAAGCAATGTAGTAATCCCAAGAACAGACAAGTTAACATGGTAAAGCTAAATGTCAATGGGCATAAAACAAATCTACTGATGAAGCATCATACACAACAATGGACCAGGAGAGCAAAGGTGACTGAAGTAAAGAAGTACTAAAACAAGCTCACGAAAGAGAAGATCAACTTCATTTTCCATATATACTAGTTAGTTATATCATCTGCAACTGCCTGAATCTCAGTACGTTATTAGAACCAATCATAAACTTTATTACTCATTTCGATCATTCTGACCAAACCACAGTCGCATGTAGCCAAAAAAGATCAAGGAAGTAAATTAAAATTACTAAAACAGAAAAAACAAAAGCAAATCACTTGGGGATTAAGCAAGAAAAAGAGCAAGTGTAAAATTAAATTGAGAAGCTTTGACATGTTTCAGAGAAGCCTCAGGCTCAGGCTCAGGCTCGTCGGTGGAAGAGAGGCGAGAGGAGGAGGAGGAGAGCTCATGCTCGTCGGTGGAGCAGATAGCCGTCGCCTTCGCCGTCGGTGAAGAGAGAAAAATTCGTTTTTACTGAAATTAAAATTGAGAAGCTTTGAGAGATGTTTAAGAGAAGCCTCTGGAATTGAAAAAAAAATTTCAAAAGATTTTACATATGTAAAAGCCCATTTTCCATTTAGGACGCCCAAGCCCAATAAGCGTTTGTCCTTGACTTCCGATCATCTTCACCACCGGTCTCATTTCCGATCAAAAATTTAGTACCAGTTTCAACAATTCAACTCTTTGAGTCTATACATTTCGGAGGATTTCTATGGACGAGAAGTTTTTTTTTCGTTGTAAGAAATGACCAATTTTAACCCCAAGGATTTGTGATTCTTAACCTCCGTCTCTCTATTTTAACATTCTCAAGTTTTATATTTTATCGGCAGAGTATGGAAGCACGCTGGACTGAGTCAGAGTGGGACACCTGCGTTTCCGGTTTAGGAGAGTCAAACCAACTGGTTTACTCCTAATTGGCCTCTTGATTCCTCTGAGTGCTCAATCCATTGCTTGTTGATGTATGTTCATTGGTTGCGAATAAACTATACTTTAGTTGACAAAGCCACACCAGCTTGATATATTCTTTAGATTATGTGTGTGCGTATTTGTTCTGACTTTGAGATTCAAACAACCAAAAGTTGGAATAGTTCCAAGAAATAGAAACATTCTTGGTCAAACTCTTTCTTGAGTAGACATCTATATAAATGTGCTTCCTCGATATTAGTCCCCAAGTATAATATTACATCTCTCTTTTCTCTGCCTGGAATGAAGAATTACAGAACCTCAATTTTTGTGGTGTTAAGTCTTGTGATACTTCTCAATGGGCACAGCAGTTTCGTGGCACGAGCCACTGCTGAGAGCAAGGTACTCGGAAATTATAACAGTTTCATTCTCTTTTGTCGCCAGATAACATAAATAGACACCAATAGACTAACAAAGTTGGTTCTGTTGTGCTGATCAAATAGGTTCATATAGTGTATTTGGGTGAGAGGCAGCATGATGATCCTGAGTTTGTCAGGGAGTCTCATCATCAGATGTTGTGGTCTCTTCTTGGAAGGTATGTAAGATTATGAATTCCACTTTCTCATACGTATATATAATAATGTCTCAAAGTGTTACTCAGATTTCTTGCTTTTGTTCCCATTTTTTACAGTAAGGAGGATGCTCATGATTCAATGGTGTACAGTTACCGACATGGCTTCTCAGGTTTCGCGGCCAAGCTCACCGATTCTCAAGCTAAGAAGATAGCAGGTACTTTTTCTGAAATGTTGCAGGTCTTAGCTGTTTTGATACATTTACATGACATCTTCATTAGTCTCATCTGAAATTTTTATTTTCATTGCTAATGCTCTTTGGCAACAGGTTAACCTGAAGTTGTTCATGTCACGCCTGATAGTTTCTACGAACTAGCAACAAGTCGGACTTGGGACTACTTAGGCCTTTCTGCTGCCTATTCGGAGAATATTCTAAATGACACTAATATGGGGGAAGAAGTTGATCATTGGCATTGTCGACAGAGGTACGGTTTGATCTTAGTTTCTCCTGTTGCTTCTGATTCCTTTGTCTTAGCGTCTCAATCAATAAATATTTGCTCTGTGATTGCAGGAGTATGGCCAGAATTTGAAGTCTTTAGTGATAATGGGATTGGACCGGTGCCAAAACACTGGAAAGGAGGCTGTGAATCAGGAGAGATGTTCAACTCATCTCACTGCAACAAAAAAAAAGCTTATAGGAGCAAAGTACTTCATCAATGCTTTTCTTGCGGAGAACGAAGAGTTCAACTCCACAGAATCACTCGACTTCATTTCCCCTAGAGACTTTGATGGTCATGGCACTCACGTCGCCACCATAGCAGGTGGTTCGGTCTTGCCGAGCATAAGCTACAAGGGCCTAGCCGGAGGGACTGTGAGAGGTGGGGCGCCTCGTGCTCGTATAGAAATGTACAAGACTTGTTGGTATCTAGATGATTACGACATAACGACTTGTTCATCTGCTGACCTCTTGAAAGCTATGGATGAAGCTATACATGATGGTGTTGATGTCTTGTCCCTCTCTATTGGCAATCAAGTTCCTTACTACCCGGAAACTGATATTCGCAATGGGATAGCTACTGGAGCGTTCCACGCCGTTTTAAAGGGCATCACAGTTGTTTCTTCAGGTGGTAACTCTGGCCCAGCGGCTTAGACTGTGAGAAACATAGCTCCTTGGATTTTGACAGTGGCTGCTACTACTTTAGACCGGTCCTTCCCCACACCTATTACACTAGGGAGCAATAAAGTGATATTGGTAACAACAAGATATACACCATATATTCCTGTAATCTGATTAGATGTTTTCACAACATAATGTTTGATTATCTGTGTCTTATTGTGAGTTTGGTCACTGTATTGCAGAGTCAAGCAATGTACACAGGTCAAGAACTTGGTTTCACTAGCTTGGTTTACCCAGAGAATCGAGGGAACAGCAACAAAAGTTTTTCTGGGTAATACTGACTCTCTAGTTTCTTATGTGGACTTACGTTGAGTTATTGTTCACTAAATCTTGCAATATAAAGATGATCAATTCTCTGATATCACCCTGGTTCTTGAATTGCAGTACTTGTGAGGAGCTTTCTTTGAATTCTTATTAGGACCTATGTTGAGTTAGTGTTTCTTGTAATGCAGTACCTGTGAGAGTCTTCTCATCAATTCTAATCTTACAATGGCGGGGAAAGTTGTGTTGTGCTTCACAACCATAAAACGTCACAGTGCTGTATCAAGCGCTGCACGTTATGTGAAGAGAGCAGGTGGTCTTGGCGTGATTGTCGCAAGAAACCCAGGAGACGCTCTCTCACCATGTGTAGGTGATTTCCCTTGTGTTGCTGTTGACTACGAGCTTGGGACAAATATACTTCTCTACATACGTTCCTCAGGGTAATGAAAATACGAACTTTGTGAATGAAAATGTGATCAAACACTTGTTGCCTGTTGTGAAGATACAACCTTCAAGAACACTCGTTGGACAACCAGTGGCTACAAAGGTTGCAGATTTCTCATCAAGAGGACCTAATTCACTTTCTCCCGCGATCTTCAAAGTACGTTCAGAATCCTTGCTGTGTTTTTTTCAGCTATCATACAAATATGTTTTTTAATGAGTCCTTTATATCTAATCATATTTGTAACTAACTGTTCCTGCAGTTGATTGACGAAAACAAATGGAATCATTTCAACGACGCTCATGTTTCATCTGTAAATGAATCCGAAATCAAAAACTCAGCGGCATATCTTCTGTTCTACCGAAGAGTGGGAAGTGAAACGGAGACAGAATCAGCTGAGATGTCGAGGACTGATATGGATTAAGTCACGAAGTTGCTGCATTGGTCTCAGTCACTCATATGTCAGGTGATGGATGTTCTTTCTTAGTTCAAGCTGGTGGTTGAAAAGTTCTATGCTTCAGGTTTTATGATGTTTAATTTGGCAGATCTCTGTGGAAAGTTGCGATTTTGGTTCGGAAGATTGATTTTTGATTAGGGAATTTTCTAGGTGAAGGGGTTTAGTGATGAACAGATTTAGAAATTTAGAGATAAGAGTTTGTGAGAAGAAGAAGTTGTCTTTGTCAATATAAATATTTTTAGTATGCCACACTATCCTAAAATGTCTCTCTTCGGAATTCAATTGATTCTGAGTTTTAAAAAGACACATAAAAGAAGCTTTTCAATAGTATTACCCTTTTTTCCCTCAAAAAAAAGTTGCTTTCAAGTAATTTTTAATGGAAAGTTTACTTAATATCCTGATTATATATTATATAGTCCCACATCGGTTTAAGCGAAATGAATAGAGTTATATATAAAAAGGAGAAGATACAGACAGTTGATATACACGTGTTTGTAGACAGACATCTGTGTTACTTGCTGGATACGTACTTAAGCAATTCCAAGGAATTCACAGTTGACATACTATGCTGATATCAGAGAAATCGAAGAGCTCATGATTCAGATCACCTGAATCTTCATTCCTAGTCACATACGTAATTTTGTCTCATACTCTCCTTGATTTGTTAGCTGCTTCATTGTTGTCCTGGATTGTATTAGGAGTGACAGAAAGCTTCTGATACTTGTATTGGTGACTTGATTGGTCTCACTTTCTTTTTGCACTCGTGCATATGCATAAACGCATCACATTCGTTACTATCATATATCAGACTAGACTTTCTCTTCTGCTAATGCTTGCTACTAGTGCTTCTGATGAGTCCTTTATCTATATATATGTGTCACTGTTCCTGCAGTTGATTGACGAAAACAAATGATATCATATTTCATCAGTAAATGAATCCGAAATCAAAAACTCAGCGGCATATCTTCTTATTCTACCGAAAAGTGGGAAGTGAAACGGAGACAAAATCAGCTGATATGGATTAAGTCACGAAGTTGCTGCATTGGTCTTACTCACTCTCATGTCAGGCGATGTTCCTTCTTAGTTCAAGCTGGTGGTTGAAGGGTTTCTCTGCTTCAGGTTGTATGATGTTTATTTTGGCAGATCTCTGTCGGAAGTTGGGATTTAGATTCGGAAGATTGTTTTTTGATTAGGGAATTTTTTAGGTGAAAGGGTTAATTTTTGGGTAGTGATGATGAACAGATTTAGAAGTGTAGAGATAAGAGTTTCTGAAGAAGCCTTTTGTCAATATAAATATTTTAGTATACGAAGCAGATGTCTCTTCGGAACTCATTGATTTTGAGATAGAAAGACAGATAAATCTTTTCAATTATATACCCTTTTTTCAATGGAAAATTTACTTTATAATCCAGATTATATATTAAAGAGTCCCACATCGGTTTAAATGAAATCAATAGAGTTAAATATAAAGAAGAGAAGATAGGAGATAAATTGCCAAGTTTGGTAACGCAAGCTTGTAATCCGAGTGGAGGCATTACGATTTATAAACTGGCCCAATAGGTTCGGTAAAGTTTGGTACAAGTACAAGGTAAGGCTTATGTGCCTATTTAATCCAAGCTAGAAATATGAGCATGTGGTGTAGCTAAAGGCTTTAGAACCCACTTGGCTCCTAGATTTGGAGGGCAAAATTGCATTAATGCAATGCGAGTATATAACTGCTGAATACTCTGATAAGATCCGAGCCAATACATGACTACTTGGACCGATCACGACTGAACCATTTCTTTTTTAAAAAAATCTACACCGACACGGCCAAGTTTGTTGTTCTCTATTTATTATATAAAGACATCTTTTTTCTTCTCTTCTTCTTGGCAAAAACCTACAAAAGCTTCTCAAGTTCTATCTCTTTTTGACTATTGAATCATGAATTTGTTGTCTGTATCTTCGACTCCTTGTGCGCACAGCTTATGAGGAGAAAACTTAGTAACGCAAGCTTGTAATCCGAGTGGAGGCATTACGGTTTATAAACTGACCCAGTAGGTTCGGTAGAGTTTGGTACAAGTACAAGGTAAGGCTTGTGTGCCTATTTAATCCAAGCTAGAAATATGAGCATGTGGTGTAGCGAAAGGCTTTAGAACCCACTTGGCTCCTAGATTTGGAGGGCAAAATTGCATTAATGCAATGCGAGTATATAACTGCTGAATACTCTGATAAGATCCGAGCCAATACATGACTACTTGGACCGATCATGACTGAACCATTTCTTTTTTAAAAAAATCTATACCGACACGGCCAAGTTTGTTGTTCTCTATTTATTATATAAAGACATCTTTTTTCTTCTCTTTTTCTTGGCAAAAACCAACAAAAGCTTCTCAAGCTCTATCTCTTTTTGACTATTGAATCATGAATTTGTTGTCTGTATCTTCGACTCCTTGTGCGCACAGCTTATGAGGAGAAAACTTACAGTTCCTCTTCTTCCTTGGGTGATCAAAGCTGTGTTGAAGAAGAAGACAACAAAGAAAGAAGGTTTTGGTAGACAATACACTCAGGTTTGCGCAAGATATGAGATTGTTTGCCAAAGCTTGGCATTACGTTTTAACTCGACAACCAAAAGGGTTCTCTTTGGAAGATTTCACTTGGAGTGACTCTCTGGATAACGTCACCATTTTCCTTTATCTGAGAGAACGAAGATTCTGCCCTTTTACTACGATCCGTCCAAGCCCAACATGACCTCATGAGCCGTTCACATTCGGACCATTACCTTTTTTATTTTGTTATTAATGATGATTCCTTGAGAAACAAAGTAAGCGAGCCAGGGTTTATGTCTTTTTAATATAATTAGGAGAGTATCCGCGCATACGCGCAGATTTTTAGTTTTGTTAAAAATTGATGTTAAACAGATGTTATATTTTATATATTATATATTATATTTTTATTAACTTAAATAATTGATTTATAATTCTAATCTATACAACTGCATTAAATATTTTATACATAAATATATTAAGACTTTGATATCTTATTAATTTTAAAATTATTAATGGATCAAGTTTGAATAAAATAAATTATCAGATAATTATTAGTATATAAAAAAGTGTAGTTACAATTTACTTTATTGTATATTTAATTTTTTTTGTATTTGAATATATATACAATACATATTTACACATTATGTGGATATTAACTATATATGTGATCAATGGTTTATTGATAAGAAAGTGTGAAATATGTTATATCTTGTATATATAGAATATATTAAATAGATAAAGTGCAAATCAGAGAAATACTATATAACAAAAATTAATTAGAGAAACTCTTCAAGCACACATAGATAGATACGATTCTTTTTAACAGGTCGTACTTGTTCACGGCGTACATTTACACAATAGAAATATCGTGGTTTTATATTTTTATGAGCTTAAATAATTGAATTATAATTCTAATTTATACAGCTGCATTAAATATTTTATAAATATATATATATATATATTAGGACTTTGATATCTTATTAATTTTAAAACTATTAATGGATCAAGTTTGAATAAAATAAATAATCAAATAATTATTAGTTTATAAAAAATTGTTTTAAAATTTATTATAATATTGTATAAATTTTTCTTCTAACTTTTTAAGGTTCAAATTATCAAATAATTGTTATTTTTATATTTGTATAATTGTTTTTATAATAGTATCTTATAATATTAATTAAAAATAAGAAAACACTCTTAAATATAAAACATAAATTTTGTTAATGATTTTTAAAAATTACCACAAAATAGATATTCAATAATGTTTTTGGATATTATGTATATATTATTATTAAAATATATTATCTAATTCTTCATATTTAATACATTAAATTTATGCAGTTAATATTTTACATAATTTGTATTAAATTTTTAAAAATAAACTAAAATGATGAGGTGGCATTCATATGGAGAGAATTAACCATCTTTTATATTATAGACTAGGTATTTACCCCCGCTATGCTGCAGGATATTTTTCTAGATTTGTATATATTTTTAATATAATAAAATTATTTGTATATTTTAAATGAGTATTATATTTATTTTTTATTAGCTTAAGTTATGTATTTATATGTTTTAAATCTGAATAAATATTATATATCATTATTTTTTTAAAAACAATTATAATCTACTATCAAATTTGTTTAGCTAATTATCTATAAATGTATATGTAAGAATAAAACAATACATTTTTAAGTACCTTCAAGCTAGTGCTAGATGTAATTTATTTTCTCTACTAAATTGCTACTTGATCTTTCTTTGAAATTATATATAGCAAATTGCCATTTAAAAAAAATATTAATTAATATGGTTATTTTAAATTATAAAATTTATTTATTTATCAAATATTCATTATAGACATATGTTTCTAAAACTATCAAACTATAATCAATAACATTCATATCAAAATCATTACTATTACTTTAGAACTAAATAGAAAATTCTATTTGAGCTGTTGAAATATCAATTTAGTTGAAGTTAAATAATTCAATTTTGGTTACTATAAACATATTATAACTTGAAAATTTAGCACATAGAAATTTTATATTTTTACAAAAACCGAGAAATTGCATTTTCCGCCAAAACCAAAAAAATTTATTTTCTCGTCAAACCTGAAATTTCATTTTCCTACCAAAACAAAGAAATTGCATTTTCCCCCAAAAACCAAAAAATCACACTTTCGCGCGAGAACCTGTGTTTTTCCGTCAAAACAGAGAAATCAAGTTTTTTCACCAAAACCAAAAAATTTCATCTTCCTGCAAAAAAAAAAATAGTATTTTTCCGTCAAAACCAAAAAAATTATTTTCCCACAAAAATCAAGAAATCGTCTATTCCCACCAAAACAAGAAAAAATTATTTTTCTCGTCAAATCAAGAATCACGCCTTTCTACCAAAACCGATAAACTACAATTTTCTGCAAAAACCAAAAATTGCATCATATCCTGAGAAATTGCGTTTCCCACGAAAATTAAGAAATCATATTTTCCCTCGAAAATCAAAAATCAAATTATATGTCAAAAACTGAAAATTTGTATTTCCCATCAAAACCAAGAAATTGTTTATTTCCGTCAAAATCGAGAAATTTTGCTTTTCTATCAACCCGAGAAATTGCATTTTTTGCCAAAATTGTCAAATTACAATTTTCCGCAAAAATCAAGAAATTACATTATCCATCAAAAGCCGAAAAATTGCATTTTCTATCAAAACCGATAAATCATATTTTTTGTCAAAATTGAAAAGTTGCATTTCCCTCGTATTTTCTCGTCAAAATCAAATTTTTTATTTCTCACTAAAACCAAAAATTCATATTTTACCGCCAAACCCGAGAATTTGATTTTTTCGCCATAACCGAGAAACTATGTTTTCCTACCAAAACTAAAAATCATATTTTTTCTACCAAAACCAAAAAATTCTCTATTTCCGCCAAACTCAAGAAAATTTGTTCTCGGAAACCAGTGGAAATGCGAATCTCCAAGTTGTGGTGGTCTGAGTTTCTCCTCATTTGCTTTCGCCTTCCATTTTTTTGTAAACTTTGGGATTTTTAATGGGTCAACAAAATAATAAATTGATTTTATTAGTGTGTTAATAATATGTATTATTGTTATGTTTTTATTGGTTCAAATTTTTGCTGATGTGTGAGCTTCTTATAACATAATATTTTTTGCATTGTTGTTATGGAAGCTTAGTTGATGATGAATCTACACTTTCTTCAATCATATACGTCTCTATCAAGCAAACACATAGTTATAAATTTTAATTTTTTTGCTGTTATTTATTATTTGAGTTTCGGTTTGGCAAAAATATAAAACAAAGATTTAATTTTATTATTTGTTGTTATTTATTAACTGGATTTGTTAAAAAAATAAAAGAATTTTTTTTATTTGCTGTTATTTATTATTTAGGCTTGGGCTTGACCAAAAAATAAATTTAAAATTAACAATAAAAATATTTGAGTTTTTAATAGATTTAAATTTAAAAGTTAAAATAAATTGATGAGTTGTATTAATGAAATGTTTTTATTGGTGTTTTTTTTGCTGAAGTGTCATCTCCTAAAAGCTTGAAAATACTGATGTGTCAAGCCACGGAGAGACTTATGGGTTATTGTTGTGTTGATTAATTGAATTAAACGAATCTACAGAAAACAAAACAGAGGTGGCTTATGTCTTTGTATTTTATTTTATGTAAATCTGAAACTGTCGAATATTCCCTTCACTTTGGTTTGCATGTTGCACAACTCGAAGTTGAACTGCAAGAAGATATTAAATATAAAATCTTGATTATATATTACAGAGTCCCACATCGGGAAAAGTGAAATATGAGATTGTTTGCCATTGTAATCCGAGTGAAGGTATT